ATATATGGAGGGGTGGCATTTTGTTAAACTATATATGGAGGGGTGGCATTTTGTTAAACTATATATGGAGGGGTGGCATTTTGTTAAACTATATATGGAGGGGTGTGTGGAATTTTGTTAAGCTATATATGGAGGGGTGGCATGTTGTTAAACTATATATGGAGGTGTGGCATTTTGTTAAACTATATATGGAGGGGTGGCATTTTGTTAAACTATATATGAAGGGGTGGCATTTTGTTAAACTATATATGGAGGGGTGGCATTTTGTTAAACAATATATGGAGGGGTGGCATTTTGTTAAACTATATATGGAGGGGTGGCATTATTTTAAATTATATATGGAGGGGTGGCATTTTGTTAATTTATCTAAGGAGGGGTGGCATTTTGTTAAACTATATATGGAGAGGTGGCATTTTGTTAAACTATATATGGAGAAGTGGCATTTTGTTTAACTATATATGGAGGGGTGGCATTTTGTTTAACTATATATGGAGGAGTGGTATTTTGGGCTGTGTTTTTTAGTGGAAGAGGGCCGGGGGAAAATCTTAGCCTGCCCCAAGCGCTAATAATCTTAGCTTCGCCGCTGCATCTACTACTATTACTACTTGAGCACTACTAGTAGGCCTACTACTAACGGTGTGTGTTGAAGAGACTTCTGCATAAAGTTATTACATTCCGATAATTAGAAACTGGTTTGCTAGATGTCACGGCTATCTCATTCACAATGAATAGAAAATGGAAAAGAAATTATCTTAATTGTTTATTTTATTTCAAATCTGTCGCGGCGCACATTTCTGGGAACCTCTGGCCTAGATATTGTACTACTAGACTTAGCATTAGCAACCCCATCTTGTTCCTACTGTGTGACAATGCAAATACGCTTCTTACTAAGACAGCTGCTTAAAGTTGAACACAGACACTTCATGCAGTGCAAGTTCACATTGGTTCTACACGTAACAATAACGCTGACAGATACGTCGTAGATTGGTGAGCTTCTCAACATTTACACGTAGCTGGAACTAGTGAATGATTGTAAGTGGAATGCATTAGCTTCGGAATTTTCTAACTTATTTTCTTGTAATTTTGTGACAGTAAAATCATTATACGTAAGTTTTAAATATAGTTAATTATAACGGAGGAATGCTCTTAATTTATATACTTTAAAAATAGAGGAACTAATTATGTTTAAAATTATATTTAGATATAAATGGCACAATTTTACATCCAGTTTTCATTTTTCCTAAAGCTGATATAATATGTGACAAACTTTCTGGCGGATTCATATGGGCGTACATACATTTAATTCATAATTATTGTACAAGTACAAGGTCAAAGTTTACGTCAGCTTTTTAATGATACTGAACAGCATTCTTTATTTACATCAAAACTATTCATTCTATTATATTTACATATGATGATCTAAGTTTTATATAATGTTTGAGCTTCAGTTAATAAATGGTTTTAGTTGTAGTTATGGGGGTCAGTAGGCCTATAGTATTTTAATGGAAGATTAGTAGCCATTAGTCAACCCCCTCAGGCTGGTTTGGTGGTGTTGAAGACAGCAGTGATTCCATCAAGAGAAAACAACCACAAATGGTTTTGAGGTGGGGTTGCTGGGGATAAGATCAGACACTTATAATGGAAATGTATGAATGAAAAAAAAAATATTTAAGTGAGATTTTTTTTTCATAATTTATTAACCTTTATAAAACCAGTGTCGGTGACAAAATGATAAGTTGTCATTGAAAAAAGGAATGTCAAAACATTCAAGAGACTTCAATCAAACTTTTTTCTTTTTTTTAATCTCAATTTTTTGGTTTCTCAAACACACACTTTTTAAAATATCTTTAATACAAACAAATCTTTGAACTGAATGTTTAGCCCATGTGCAAATTTAAAGCTATGCAAATAAAACTTTCACTCACTAATCAGTTCCGTGAGACTTAAGTAAGTTAAAGTGATCATCTTTAGATCATAAACTCAGCACCCTGACTTATTCCACAAAGAATACTTATTTGATTCATTATAATGAATTGTACAGTTATTTTAATTAATTAAGCAATTCAACTATTTATTTATAATAAGTACCAATCATAAGTTGTATAGTTAATAAAGTCATACGGATCTCAATACTCAGATTAGATATCTTCATATCTTTATTTCCAGCTACTGGTTACACAATTCAGCTGTCAAAAGTTGAAAATAGATTGGGCATCTTCTTTTTAAAATCTATATCATTTAAAGTTATTCAGAGGGTATACAGTTATCCATCCATCCATCCATCCACCCATCCATCCATCCATCCATCCATCCTTCTTCTATCTATCTGTCTATCTATATATATATATAATATAAATATATATTTAAAAGAGAGAGGGCAATCTTAAAATTCCTCCTGGTTATCTGCTATTGACCCAGATTTTAAATTAAGTTAATTTATTTTAATCACTATTTATGTTGCTGGCATTAAGTGTAAATAGTAACTTACATTGAGCTTCTA